AACTCTTTGCTAGGGTAAGTATGATATCGAGTAACCTTTGAAAAACCATTTTCCAAAATGATGCTTCTTTGCGAATTTCATTTTCAAGTTCCTTGTCGATAGTATTAGTATCGTTTTTTTTCTCCAAAATTCATACACAGCACATGCTTCCGGAAGGCCACTCGAACAACTGTGTTGTTTAATTCTTTCTGTTAAATGCTTCCAATCTCGAATTCCCGTACACCAAACATTATTCCTTTGTGAAGCAAATAACCAGCAGGGTTGACAATCGGCAGAGTCTAGTATTTTGGAATAACACAACCAAAAATGATTAATTGGCCCATATTTAGAACACGAAACGTAGTACGATTTTGAAAAACACCTATTGTTCTGGTTGACGTCTGTTGAAAAAGGTCCTGAAGGCTGTAAAGGCCCCATATCAAGAATTTGACGTTTTTCGTTATCACTTAATATCTTGTTCGTGAAGTTTCCCAAGTCATAAGAAGATTTGTCGTACACATTTTCTAAAAATATAGAGGTCTGTGGTTCCTCCAAACCCTCCGCTCTTATGTGTGTCATGCAAACATCATCCACGTTCACATGATCGGCGGCGGAGGTATCTCCAACTGCAATAATTGTCGAATCTTCTTCAGTAGGCTTCTCAACCAACACTGCAGTTACCACATTATTTGAGTCATTATCAATAGAAATATTTTGGCCAGATGTACTTGCAGAAGGCTGACTAAAAAACTTGTCAATTTTGGGCAATTTTTGTTTACCATCTTCTCTTTCTTGGCGTTGTTTGCGTTTAAATGCACCACTGGGTTTCTTCTTTTTATCCATAATTTTCTAATTTATTTAAACAATACAATATTAGATTGTGCTCGAGTAGGTAGGTACTCACTGTTCACTGACGACGTTAAAAGTAAAATAAAAGGAAAGAGAAACACAATGATACGCTACAAGTGTTGTTGGGGAATCCCCGGAAATAAATTATCACCGATAGTGTTACCACATTTAACGGTGGAGACTTTAATGGTTGGCAACTGTTTGGCGACCTTTTAAGGCGCATTTTGTCATCCCGTCGGAGGGATGAGAGAGAGAGAAAAGTTGATGTATGTTTGATATAATCGGGAGAGGGTCTCCCTTGGTATTCTAAGAGCTGGAAGCTCTTACTGGAAAACAATGCCCATTTCTTTTGTTTTTAAATAAAGTTAAGTTTCATTGTTTCAAAAATTTGGTCTGCTTATTTATTGGAAAGGAAAGGCATTACAGAGACCATGAACGATCTCCTGCCCGCGGACCTGAATTAATGTACCTACTGCAGGTGACTTGCATTTTTTCATGATATTTCGCGTTATACAATGAACTGTAGTCAAAATCTATATATTTGTTACGATTTATTGACTTAACGGACATGATGTGTGGTAAAATCAAATAAAATTGAGCCACTATATTGAACAGTACAAAAAAGTTTATTGACATTAGCTTACTTACTCCTGATACAGTATTAATTTTTCAACCGTTCTCGAAAAAAAATCTTAACTCGAATTCACAATAAAACGCACATCGATGAATAATAAAACGCACATATCACTATCCGTCAAATTGACAACACTGCCAACCTACAGAAAGAATTTAGGGGAATTCCCTAGGCATAACTTTTGAATTTCTCTAAACTGAGTTGTCATGATTAAAGTGGGGTTGCAATCTGTCATATTTATTTTGAAAATGGGAGAAATTTCCAAAAGTTCAGTTCGATCGAGATTTCTGGTTAGGATTCGAGGGCCCCCTGAGCTCGAGGGCCCCGGGGCACTGCCCCGCCTAGCCCCAAGGTAGCTACGCCACTGATACCACGTAGAAAAGCAAAGATGTGGGGATAATGAGTTTTTTCAACCAAGTTTTTCGTACATAAAAGATCTACCAAAAATGAAAGAATTCATTGATTGAATGTTGAGTTTAATGGCACAAGATCCAAAAGAGGATATGCTGCGCCAAACAGTACGTTAATGCAGCTTAAAATATAAAATGCAAACTAAAATTTTAATTTTATAAAATACAGGGTGTTTATGAAGTCCCGGACCCATTTTGATGCTTAATAACTCATCAAATAATAAAGATAGATCAAAATTAATAGCATAAATGGTTCGATAGACTCAAAAAGTTTCATGACCTTTGTCAATGAACTTCCACGTGTGCCCCCTTCTTCGCACGGAGAATATCAAGTCGATAGTCAATTTCACGCCAGGTAGCGGCAAGCATGTCGGCATCCACAGGGAATTCTGGCTTTCAGGTCATCAATGTTCGACACGATCCTTCTGTAAACATTGTCCTTTATAAATCCCCAAGGAAAAAAGTCCAGCAACGTTATATCAGGTGACCGAGTTATTGGGCCTTTTTTTTTACAGAAAAGACGGTGTCATCAGTCATATACTTAGACATGTTGGAAAACTTCGTATTTCCACAACTAGAAGAGCTTCAGTCACATGCTTTCTTGCAATAAGATGGTGCTCCACCTAATTGGGGTATCATCGTTCGTAGTTCTTTGAATGACCATTTTCCAGGAAGATGGATTGGGCGAAGAGGTCCAATTCCTTGGCCACCCAGATCACCTGATATAACGCCGCTGGACTTTTTTCTTTGGGGATTTATAAAGGACAATGTTTACAGGAGGATCGTGTCGAACATTGATGACCAAAAAGCCAGAATTACAACCGCAATAGTCTCTGTGGATGCCGACATTCTTGCCGCGACCTGGCGTGAAATTGACTATCGACTTGATATTCTCCGTGCGAAGAAGGGGGCACACGTGGAAGTTCATTGACAAAGGTCATGAAACTTTTTGAGTCTATCGAACCATTTATGCTATTAATTTTGATCTATCTTTATTATTTGATGAGTTATTAAGCATCAAAATGGGTCCGGGACTTTATAAACACCCTGTACATAAAGGTAATAAAACCGTCAACAGCGAGACGAATATATTTAAAAGTCAAGTAATTCCAATAAAGGCGCAGTTATGTAAAATACATGAAATAGGTAAAACTGTGCATGGGTAATAAATAACAGTGGATAAAATCAGATAAAACCTGTTATATACAATATAAAATTCCAATAGCTCGCAGAGATGCGAAAATGTTAGGATGATGGATTTCACCTAACAAATCCTTCATACATAAAATAGTGCTATTAGAAAAGGTAATACGATGTTAGTTAAAACAAGGACAAATAGTTAAAACGTGATGGAGCTTAAGTAAAACAATATAGCAGAAGCCTTTAACTAGGGTTCCACTATTGATCACTATTTGCTTAAAGTGTAGAGAGAGAAAAAAAATTCTGATTTTTTTTCTCCTTTCTTCTGTTGAAAAAGTTTAATGCATGAATATTTTCCATAATGCATGTTTTTACAATTTATTTTCTTGGATCCCAATAAACGAAAAAGAACAGAAATCGGCTCATTGACACTCAATTGAAACAAAAATTTAAACAAGTTCGTATTATGTGTTTTTGGATTGTTGTTAATATGCAAATAAAATCTCATTTTTCTTCTCCCTCTCAGTTAAGTTGCGCGAGTTGCGTAATGTAATACAACGACTTCCCGATAGGGGATATCGATATATATTTGTTGAAGAAGCTGACTGGTTGTTGGTTGATTCAGATGTGTAGCACTGTGTGTGCGAACTATTGTTTCCTCATATTATGTTTTAATAAATACCTTATTTGCCGGCATTAGCCTCTGTGTTATTCAACCAAACAACATGGATAAATAAGAATATCCTGACAATATCAAAAGAGATGTAAAACATCTAATAAAATAGAAAGTTTTTCGCATGCATACGTTTAAATGAATGACGTCATTCATTTAAACGTATGCATGCGAAAAACTTTCAATTTTATTCGTCTCGTTGCGACAAAAACAAAATATAGAAACAGAATTGAATAATGAAGACTACATTAGGTTAAAGATTTCAATAATTATTCGAAATGTAAAAACTTAGCGATAAAAAAAAAGCTATATTAAATTAAATACAATGGTAAGTCTACTTTTTATTTGGACTATGTTTTTCCAGAGTACTGAAAGCGTTTTTAGTATTTTGTATTGTATCTCTAAATTTTATGGATTCTTCAAACAAAGCAAAAAATTTTAAGACAGATCTTTTAGTTAATTTCAAGATATTTATTTAATATACAAAATGTAACAAAATTACGAGAGTAATTATATGTGAGGAAATTAAAAACCTATAGACGTTTCGGTGTTACAATGGTACATCTTCATCAGTAGGAAAAATGGCTTTAACAGCTCGGTAATTCCCAAAATTTCATGCCACTGTGTATTGCCGTACATAGAACAAACTAAACGAGCAATCAAACATCGGCTCAAAGAACGGCTCTGCGTCAAAAACTCCACCATTCATCTATTGTAAAACATATTGTTGTACAGAAGACCTTAGGTGAGATTTTCCTTCACCTCATATCATTCATAAATGTATTTCTTGTGCTGTCCTGGATTTTGGGGACAGATCAAAAATAAAAACTCTATGGTATTGATCTTGTTGAGCTACCATATTTCTAAAACGTTTGTAAATCATAATTTTTTTTAATTTTAAATTTTCTGCTACTTTAATGTTTTACCTTTAACTTAAGTATGACGTAACCTCCTTCGGTTTAAATCATCTCTGTTTTTACTTTCCCTGTCATTTATCCTATTGATAAAGGTGCACCATTGTGACACCGGCACGCATATAGGTTTTTTTTAAAAAAAATATTAAACGCTGTTTTCAATGAAGTTCGATATAAAATATAAATAAAAAAACTGCAACTTCCGCAATTATAGGTTAAAATCGGATGAAATTTTGTTTCTGATTGTTTAAAATTCACTAGCACTAGTACTTACAAATTGGTGTGGTACAGTACTGGTATGGCTTTGTTGCAACATGTTCTTTGCTAGTAGACTTGAATTATTTAATAAGACATTTTCATTTTAAATCATTTACTTAAAAGTTTATCCTGCGTGTGTCCAGGTGAAATTCCAAGATGGCTGAAAGGATCACTGATAAGGATAGGTTCTGGACTTCTAGAAGTGGGACCCGATCACTTCAATCATATATTTGATGGCCTGGCTCTGATGCACAAATTCAGTTTTCAAGACGGTAAGGTAACTTATCAAAATAAGTTTTTGAGAAGTGACACCTATCGACAAAATATGAAGGCCAATAGAATCGTCGTGAATGAATTCTCCACTCCTGCTATTCCAGATCCATGCAAGACTATTTTTCAAAGGTAACAACATAAGAACATAATAAAAATAACTAAAAATTTAAGATAATTAAAAATTTACTAAAAACTAAATTACTAAATAAAATTAATAATTATTATAAAATAAATAATTAATTATTATTAAAATTAATAATTAATTACTAAATTACTAAAAAAAGTTACTAAATAACTAAAAATTTAAGATTAATGAGGAAATTTACTGTAATCACAAATTACTTTCATTGTGACAACAACATTTAAAACATTACAATTCAAGTAATTAGTGATAAACAATACTGCTTTACAAGCATTATATTATTCGCATCAATATTTACATTTAATCAAACTAAAAAAAAATTCATTACTAATGTACTGTCCTTTAAATAGAATGGCTTCAGTTTACCTTTCAATATATTCACTGATTAAAGGTTATAAATAGTTATTAACTAGATCATTTTAAAACAAATGTTGAAGTAAGTACCCTGGACTTGGGACAAACCAATATGGCGAACTCTGTGAGGGAATGGGATCAAACAATTCATTTCTATCAAATGCAATTGCGAATTGAATTGAATTGAATTGAATTGAATTGAATGTAGGGTTTAGTGGCGCAAGGTCCAGATGAGGACATGCTGAGCCAAACAATACGGTAAATTCATTTAAAAACCTAAGTGCATACGAAATTTAATTGTAACACAATTATAATTGATAAAATAGTAGTAGTGGGTGATTAAGACAAGATAATTTAATTAAAATCAGATAAAAAGTATGGATAAAATCAGATAAAAAGTATGAATACAGTATAAATCGCACGAAGTGGGTAAAATGTACAAAGGTGCAAATGCAATTGCAATTGCGTGTTTGGGGCGGTGTTTTGTGATAAGGCCTGGCACCTTTACATGCTGTTCTTGCTAAATTGCACGCCAATGCCTGCAGGAGCATTTTAAGCCCCATGCCCTTTCAATTTTATGGAATTTACAAATGCTACTCCAAGGACGAGAACGCTCCATGTCATGTTGCAGCATCTGTGAAGCAACGATGACTATATATGCTTATAAAGCGTTTTCCTTGCCCTATATTTAAAGTACTTTAGTCCCATAGAACATTTGTGGTGAGTTAGAGCTATGCTTTCGAACCAAGCAAACACGCTTGAAGTCTACAGTTTTAGCTGATCAGATATTTATGGCAAATATGGACACAAATCTCAATGGCTGCGAATCAAATCCTTGTTGAAAATAGAATAAGGGTTACTACTACATACATTGAAAGGTTGCTAGAGTAATTGCAGAAGATAGCAGATCAAATTTAATGCTTTATTTTCTTTATACCATAGTATTACGATCGATCATAGTAAAGGAACGTGTTATTCACGTTACGTTAACCAAGTGAAAAAAGGTGCAATTTGAAGTCACTGTGATGAGTAATGAATTGAATGTAGAAGTTAATAATACGTTTTTTTCTTTTCTTTTTTTTGAAAAAAAAAGAGCACGTTGTAGATAAGAAAGAAAAAGGAGTTAATGAACGTTCCATCGCTTTTATATTCAAATCCTCTCAATATATATGCATTTTTATTTTCATTTCAATCATTACACAGAAAAAGACTCTTACGCCAAAAATATATTACTATCAATCAATCAATTCCTATTTAAACGAAGATTCGCCTGAAATGTTTCAAATTTTTAGTTTCTCTTTTTTAGTCTATTGTTAAACATACAGTGATTAATTTTGATTTGCTTTAAACTAACTGAGCTGTCTTTAGAAACATCATTACTTTTTCAATAAAATTATTGCTCGTTTCAGGTTTTCAAGTTTATTTACAGATGAAATGACGGACAATGATCTGGTGAACATTGTTATGTTCTCCGAAGAAGCGTATGCTTGTTCAGAAACCAACTGTATTTGGAAAATTGATCCTGTGACGTTAGATAGTATCAAAAAGGTTAGTTGAGAAAACAATGAATGTGGTACTAAAATTGCGGTTATTTCACCAAGTTGTCAAAAGGTTTTGTGACCGATCACGAAGTTTCGGTGCCATTTACTCTGTTTTTAATTCATAGAAATTTTCGATTGTAATATTAAAAATAAATGATTAAAATTTTAAAATGCATTTATATGCCGTATCTGAGCAAACAGTGAAAGACAATTTTATGCAATTTATAATACAGCTTCAAAAAATTAAAGCATCGCCCAAATTTTATTTAATTTATAATGAATAAAGTTCTTTTATTAATATTTTTTGCAATAGAACTTTAAATTATACTGTTATGCACTAGACTTAAAAATATGTGTTTCTCAATAAATTATATTTTATGGCAAAAATAATAAGAGTGTAAAAGTTTAAAATTCTTACCACACAATTATAGCCTGACTGTAACTGATTTTATTTATTTTAATTTTAAAGTGGGTGTAAGTTTAAATTATGATTCATATAATAAGCTCACCGGAAAAAAATTAGTCACCCTAGTGCGCAAGCACCGATGAATCGTTAGATGATGCAGTGGTCAAGTGACGTGCTGAATTGCATGCGCATTGCCTCAACGTGTTTAAAGGCAAGTAGCCATCCGAGAGATATTTTCATTTCAAGAGGAATTTGTGGGTAAATATTGATAAGTGTCAGAATGTGACAGAGTGACAAAAAGGGCAATTGCGTTTGGTCGTGCCCATGGTCATACGGTGAATGAAGTTGCTCGATTTGTGGGTGTTACAAGCAGTGGTGTAATAACACGTGGTTGCGAAAGACATCGTCAGAATTGTCGCCGGAAAAAAGATCCTGCATGAGAGGAACCGGAGACGTGTTTCACGACTTGTCAATCAAAATCGCTTTCAAACCCGCAGGAATTGATTCAGTAAGTAAGTGTTTCCCAAAGTGGTCCGTATGGACCCCCAGGGGTCCATGGTACCACTCAGGGGGTCCCTGAAAAATAAAAACTGATTTAGGGGTCCCTGAACAACGTCAGGGGGTCCGCGTGAGGTTTTATATAAAATAATAAAATTGTGATTGGTTTTTATTATTATAGAAATTAAAATAAATAAAATAGTGGCCATTTTTACGTGCAAAGTAAACTATAAATAAAGGTGGGTGCTTATAATTATTAGCAGTGGTTTGTTACAAACTAAACAGTATGAATGAGTCGGGGAAAAGGCGCCGAAAATACAGTGTTGAATATTTGAAGTATGTCTTTATTTCTTCACCAGGAAATAGTACTTTACCTATGTGTCTTCAATGTAATAAAACTATAACAAGTGATTCAATGAAACATTCCAAGCTTAACGAACAATTGATAAAAATCCATAGTGACAAAAAAGATAAAGACTTAACTATTTTTCAAACAGTCAAAGAAAAATAACTGAAAACACTGTCACTGCAACAACTTATAGGGACAACGTCAAAGTGAGGTGACGATGTTTCTCATAGTTTCTATATATTACATGATTTCAAAGTCCGGAAAGCCTCACACTATTGAAGAACTTATTTTACCAGCTGTAAGTGAGATAATACTCACTGGGTTGCACAAACCAGCTTTTAACATTGTAAAAAGAATTCCACGGAATAATAATAATGTACAAAGAAGGATTGACAATATATCTCAGTGCGTAGAAAATTCTTTATGTGACACTTAAAAATGTCTGAATTTTCTATACAGCTTGACGAGTCCACTTATCCAAGAAACGAAGCTTTTACTTTTAGCTTATGTTAGATTTGTAAAAGAATAAAAATTTTACCAAGCATTGTTATTTGCTAAATGTTTGGAAAGCGATACGAAAGGTGAAACGCTATTGACTGAATTAAAAGCTATACCCATGACTAATATCATTTCTGTAACTACTGACGGTGCTCTGGCAATGGTAGGGAGATACCGAGGTTTTCTGGCTAACTTAAAACAAGCTGCAGCGAATGTATTTTCAGTACATTTGCCAAACTTAACGAAACTAATTTGAAACTACAAGATGAACAATTAAATTAAATCAAAACTAAAATCGTAAAACTGCGTTTGTTGCAAAACTTTCTCTGTATAAACAAAACTTGGGAAGAGGATATTGTTCTCTCAGTTTCAGAGCCGTAATGAACCTTATCACAAAAAAAAATAATAATAAATATATTATTAGAAATTAGTGCTCACAAACATTGAGCCTGACATAAATACACTCTTAAAATCTCATCATATTCACCCAAGTCATGAATTTTTATTTTATTTTAAACAAAAGATATAATTTCAATAAATAGTTCAACAAAACGTTTTTTTTTAATTAGTAATTTTTATACCGTATATATATGCAGTTTTTCACTTGGGGGTCCGTGGGCAAGTTTTGACCATAAAAAGGGGTCCATGGGTCAAATAAGTTTGGGAACCACTGCAGTAAGTGAACGAAGGTCCATACCAACCTGTTAGTGAGAGAACATTGCGACTGGAGGTGCATGCAATGAACATTTGGTGTCATACACCTAGTAAGTGGCCATTGTTCTCACAGGAACATAAAGCTGCGCGACTAGGCAACTACAATGGGCTAGAAGTCACCGAACCTGGACAGTTGCTGACTGGCGGAATGTACTAAGCTCTGACAAATCACGTTTTTGTCTTTATTCAAATGACGCGAGCCTTCAAGTGCACCGGAGACTAGATGAAGCATTTCATCCTGACTGTGTGCAAGCTCAGGTTCAAGCCGGAGGTGGGTCTGTCATGTTTTGGGAGTGTTTTTCTTATTATGAATTGGGCCCCCTCACTGAGGTGGCCACTAACATGAACCAACATATTTCTTTGAACATTCCGGATGATCATGTGTGTTACCTTTCAGTCAACATCTTCTTGAGGAGTGAGTTGTCGATACCCCTATTTTTCACGATAACAACAGCAAAGTTCATAGGACTGGAAGAATATGTGACTGATTTTATGAACACTCAGACACTCAATTACATTTCGACTAGGTTGTGAAATCACCTGACTTGAAACTGATTGAAAATTTGTGGGACAAGTTGAAACTACGGGTAAAATGCCGAAATCAGCATCCTCGCAATTTGGTGGATTTGCGCAATCAAATCCTTAGCGAGAGGCTTTAACTGGATTCGACATACCAGCAGAACCTATTGGATTCACTTCCTAACCGAATCCAGGCAGTTATCAAATCCAAAGGCGGTGTTACACGTCATTAAATGATGTTTTTAATGATTTCTCTAAGGATGACTAATTTTTTGTTAGGTGTGCTAATCGCTTTAGTTCTGACTAAATGCAATTTAAGATAAAATTGACTGAATAAATGATATTTTCTAACTGTAGGGAGTCTAAAGTTTCTCAAACGAATTAAGTACTGAGGATTTATCTGAAACACTTGACAAAGTAAAATATTAAACAAAAAAAGTTTTAAAAAAAGGGAGGAATTGAATTGAATGTATGGTTTAATGCCGCAAGGTCCATAAAAAAGCATGCTGAGTCAAACAGGCTGTTTGAAAAATATAAAAGGAGGAAATAAACATTATTATAGCCTCTTCCTTATTGTTTGTAGGACTAATTTTTATCTAAAGAAGATGAAACCCGTGAAAGGTGGGGTCTGTGCAAGGCAGTGATGTTTTTATAAAGTTGTGATTTAGAGAATGTACGGCATTAAGAACATTAATATGAAACAAAACTTAAAATGTAAATTAAGAATTGCCACTATAGTAAAAAATATTATATTTCAGGTTAAACTCAGTGATTTTGTTCCAGTAAATGCTGCAATAGCTCATCCTCATGAAGAAAAAGACGGAACTGTGTATAATGTTGGTAGCACACATAGTTTTTGGCCTGTATATAAAATTTTGAAATTCCCTCCAAAAGGTAATTTTTATAATTCAAAATATTTGTAGTAAAGATACAGTACAATTTTAACAGTGTAAAAATACATTTATTTCTAATCCAGTACAAAAATGTCAACATTTTTAAATAACATGTTCCGCAAGAAGAAAAAAAAATATTTCCGTTAAATTTGGTACGGCTGGTAGTCCTTTTGTTGGCTGCAGAAACAATGTCACAGGTGTAGAATAAAACACAGATTTTCATATAAGTTAAACGTTCTTAGTAATCCTTAAGAATATTTGAGTATTAAAATATTGTTATACTATATTTTGGAGTCATCTAGATTTATGTACCAAACGCCTAGTTAAAAGTTAATGATTCTCGAACGTGATGCAGGAAACTAATCAATATACTTGTTAAAAAATATTTAAATACTAGTGGGCTGTGCCCCCTGCTCGCTAACGCTCGCCAACCCCCGAAAATTTCTACGCAATCTTATATGGTTCGCTTCGCTAGCTTCTAACTTAGGTACATTGCAAATGCACAAAATTCTAAGAATTCAAAACAATCATTCTAATCCATATAACAACTTTTCCTTTTTAAAAAAATTTACATCTTTTTTGTAAATACTAAGCTAGACTCATTTTTCAATGAATAACTAAAAACAATAATAAAACAAATAAATTCGTGATATAAATCAAAAATCGTCAAATAAATTCGTAATATATAAATTCGTGAAAAAAAGCGCTTTCGACAAAATACTAAAATAGAGATCTATCGACAAAGACTACTCACTTCTGCCTAGCTTAATAGTATGAGAATGCCGCAGCTGATAGGGTGAATTTCGGAAGAGATCACATTTGATGATTTCCGTTTCTAAAAGCTCTATATGTTGAGCCACCTCAGCTAGATTTGGCATGTGAAATTTTTAGCGGCAATCATTGGCCGATTTTCTAGCGTTGCCATTCGGAGAGTTTTAATGAGGCTTTTTTTTGTCGTCGTGTAAGAGAAATATATATATAGATGTTTCGTTATCAGTACTAAATGTGAACACTTAAAGAATGTTTATTCATGCTTATAAAACGTTCTATATAAAAATACTACTATTTCTAATTGATCCTCCACTGTGGAATTGTTCAGCAGTATATTTTTACATAAATTTAATATGTAATATAAGACTCAGACCCGGTTATGCGTGCCAAACGTAAATAGGCAAATGCATTGTAGTACAGTGCGAAAAAAAAGGCTAACTTGAATAACTTTTGATCTAATGCTAGGATCATCACGTTATGAGCCTCAATCTTAATAGTTCGAGCGGGTGACCTCAAATATGCTAGTTAACTAGTGCAGACAATATTTTAAGTTACGAAATTAGGCACAGAAAGGTACTTTCTCTGAATAAACATAGATTTTTTTCAACGGATTCGGGTTTCTGACTTCCAAACTATAGAGGAGTTGCTGAAATCTCAGAAATAAGGTTCCCATAGTTTAATCAGGAGAGCGATCCTAAGTTTGCGCCTCATAATGTTAATTTAAAACATTTTGCACACATTTATAAAATTCGTTTGTCCAAAGATGATTCTATGCAAAAAATTTATTTCAGTAAATATTTATTATTTTACTTAATAGTAGTCGAGTTCAAAATGAAGATAAAACAAAGGAAAATTATAGATATATGAAAAAAGGGGAGGGGGGAAATAATTATGAAAAAAAAAGAAACAACTGATTAAAAAAAAGGATGAAATTTTTTTAATAAACCGGGGAAAAAGAGTTATAATCTTTTCATCAGCCCACACGATTATATCCGCAAAAAAGAGTGCTTTCTGATATTGTATCAATATAGCCAAAGCAAAATATATTAATACAATAGTGTGAGGAGCACTCAAAGAAATTTTTTACAAAAATTATAACAAATAAAATAGAACACAATAAGTAAAAATAACACGTAAAAACAGAAATTAAAATACAATAAAAAGAAAAACAGTATAAAACAAAAATTATAAAGCGAAATCAGATGTACTTACATGAACGGGAAATTTTTCAAGAATGATTTAAAAATATTTTCGCAACAAGATTCCCAGATTATAAAATATGAAAACAAAAGTGCAAAGAAGCAAAAGTGCCGTTCCTACTGCATTGCTGAAGTGAACTGAATGAAATTGCTGAATGAAACTTATTGTTTTTCTTAACTTATTTCGTGTTTTCTTGTATTTATTTATTTTATTATTATTATATATATATAGTACTAATGAAGTACTTTTTTTATTGCAGGAAATAAAGACGAAAGTCCGTTTCAGAAGGGATCCGTTATATGTAGTATTCCAACCTCAAGACGATTTAATGCTAGTTATATTCACAGCTTTGGAATGACAGAAAACTATATTATTTTTGTAGAACAACCCCTTTATGTCTATATTCCAAAAATTGTGAAAGTACATTTTTTCGGTGGAGGCCGATATTCTGATGCACTACATTGGGATGAATCTAAACAGGTAGATCAATATCAAGTTATAAAAATAAATCAAAATATAGATAGAGAACAAAGTATTTATTTCCGTTGCAATGATAAATAACGAAAACCAACAACGAATTAGACCAAAAATAGTGAAGCTAATCAGATGTTAGTTTACTTACTAACAAGTACGATCTTCATTAAGATTTAGATTCTGTATCTCTGTTAACTACATTATTATGCTCTTATATAATGTTCTACTTTTTTTGAAATTAGGGGACAGTTCTTATTAGTTACTTTGCTGAATACAAGGAGAATTTACCGCTGTTAGCTACCATTCACTCCTCACAAAAAAACAGTTCCAAAAAATAAAACAGGCTTTGGTAAATTATGCTGCGATGAAATTTTCAGCAGTGAACTCAAATCACTCGGTTGTTATTTTGTCGATATAGGACATTTGTATTATTTTTTCTCACAGCTTCTAATTTCTACTAGCTAATTTTGGTTAGAATTTTTTTTTATTATGATTTAATTTTGATTTTATTATTTAAATATACTTCTTTATATATATTTCTCAGATTTATTTTTTTCTTTCTGTTCTAGACATTATTTAAAACGGAAATAATCTGGGCTCTGTACTTATATGTATCTAAATACTGATGTTCAAAACGAAATTGCTTTTCTTAAATTGAATTGAATGAAGGGTTTAATGGCAAAAAAATCCATAAAAGGTTATGCTGCGCGAAGCAAACAGTTAAACCTTTGCTTTACAGGCAAAATTGTACAAGGCACTGAATTTATAAATTTCTAGATACTTAGATTTAAAACACAATTTTAAACCTTTTCTATAAAAATTGAATGTAAGGTTTAATAGGGAAAAAAAACTCCATTAAAGGACATACTATTCCAAACGTGTGATTAAACCCTTGTTTCATATCGAAAATTTCACTCTGAATTGAATTCATATATAAGGTAAAAGGGGCTAGTGTGGGAACATTTTGCAGATTTGTCAAAAAAAACATATAATTTTTAATTCATTAAGTATTTTTTTGCAACAATTTGGACATTTACCTGCATTCTGATTTATATTTGAAAAAGTTGTTGAGTTTTCACATAATAATTTCTTTTAGAAAAAAACGTTTTTGTTCAGACTAGCTCCACTATAGGGGCTGTTGTGGATGAACTTGGCCACTTATTAAGAAGTAATTTATCACAACTTGAAAAGGTATATTTAAAGCCAAAATGAAATTAATTTAAATTTTGGCGTGAAAATCAATCGGAAGTAGTAACCCTGACGTCTTTTAATACGACGAATTTTAACCCCTAGCGCCATCGGTTCTTAGCTTTACATGTATATATA